GATATGATTGTCCCTTGGGCTGTGCAGTAAATTCATATTCAATACTTTGTGGGATTGATTTAACTAGGAGGAAAAATTGATGATTCTTTGGTGAAATCTTATTTATTAACAAAAAATGTACACAAAGTCTTTTTTCCCTGAACATAACAGGAGCAAGATTAGGCATTTCCCTTATTTATAACTTTAATGCCTGCCTTGCCGGTCAGTCCAATAACCCAAAATAGCTCTGTGTCTCTGGTCCCTATCAGGTCCATGCTCATGATTGCATCTCTGGCTTTTCTGCTGTAAAAACAAGGCCAATCTCTTATTACAAGGAGTTAATCTGCTGAGTAGAGGGGAGACCCGCTCTTCTTCATGTTGCTGTATGAATGCACAGCAGAGCATAGCAGTCAAGTCTTGCTCAGCAGAACAAGATGACCAGCCTCCAAGCTAATTTTTCTTGAGTATGTGTTATATTCTCTCACCCCATGCTTCAACAGGGAAGAGGAAACCAGGGGCTATGATCTGGGAAGAATGGAGACAGATGAGAACAAAAGAATGAAGAAACAAAATGTTGATAGGATGAGAGGACAGAAAAAGGATAACAGGTGAGTAAAGGAATAGGAAGACAGTTGGTGGAAGAGAAAAGAATTAGGGCATCCAATGAGAGAAGGCCCCTGCTAACAGGAAGGGAAAGGGGGGAAAACACAATACAATATTTTTCAGCGGGAAACAAGGAGGGGATGATATCTCCTGAGGTTACCAGAAAAGGGGAAGGAGAATTTCATCTCTCTTCCCCTCTGCCAAACACACCAGAAAAGAGAGCAAAGTCTTCCAACAGGAAGAGAACACTACATACATAATTCCTAAAATTCTTCATGGGAGTGAATGTACATATGCATAAATCGCCTATTATAAGAAACATCTCAACAGCTTACTTGTTACTTTTTGCTTGACAGGGGAATGGGAACGTTGTCACAGCTTTAGCATTTAGTATGGGACTGAAATTTGCACCAAAATCCAGCTACAATTCCAGAGTTTACTACATGATTTTACTCACATTTTCGTTTGAAAGAACGTTTATTTTGTGAGGCATTTCACAGGAAGTGCTTGAGAGCTGTGCTGTGGAATTTGCAATATAGATGTCTGGGTAAAGTTTAAGGTGTTCGCTCATGTTTTACAAGCCATACCCGAGAGATCATCTCTCTTCATTGTCTTTGTGACATACAGGCAGTCCCCGGGTTACGTACAAGATAGGGACTCATCTTAGGTTTGTTCTTAAGATTTTTGTAGGTTTGTTCTTAAGTTGAATCTGTATGTAAGTCGGAACTGGCGTCCAGATTCAGCCGCTGCTGAAACTGACCAGTCTGTTGAAACTGATCAGTTTCAGCAGCGGCTGAATCAGGACGCCTGGGGCAGAGCAGCTGGGGTGCTGCCCGGTTGGTCCAGTAGTGCCCAGAGCGGCACTACGGGACCAACTGGCAGCGCCCCAGGTGCTGTACCACAGGTGTCTGGAGCAAAACCGCGGTGCAGGGGGGCAGCGGGACAGCCCAGACGCGCCGTGGCTGTCCTGCTGACCTCGGGCTCTGTGGCTTTGCTCTGCTTTGCTCCCCGTCCCCCTGGTCTGCAGACCAGGGGGACGGGAAGCAAAGCGGCGGAACACGCGGCCAGCTGACAGCCCAGACGCGTCTGGGCTGTCAGCTGGCCGCGTGTTCCGCCGCTTTGCTTCCCGTCCCCCTGGTCTGCAGACCAGGGGGACGGGAAGCAAAGCGGCGGAACACGCGGCCAGCTGACAGCCCAGACGCGTCTGGGCTGTCAGCTGGCCGCGTGTTCCGCCGCTTTGCTTCCCGTCCCCCTGGTCTGCAGACCAGGGGGACGGGAAGCAAAGCGGCGGAACACGCGGCCAGCTGACAGCCCAGACGCGTCTGGGCTGTCAGCTGGCCGCGTGTTCCGCCGCTTTGCTTCCCGTCCCCCTGGTCTGCAGACCAGGGGGACGGGAAGCAAAGCGGCGGAACACGCGGCCAGCTGACAGCCCAGACGCGTCTGGGCTGTCAGCTGGCCGCGTGTTCCGCCGCTTTGCTTCCCGTCCCCCTGGTCTGCAGACCAGGGGGACGGGAAGCAAAGCGGCGGAACACGCGGCCAGCTGACAGCCCAGACGCGTCTGGGCTGTCAGCTGGCCGCGTGTTCCGCCGCTTTGCTTCCTCTCCCTGGTCTGCTGGAGACCAGGGAGAGGAAGGGCCCCATTCGTAACTGCGGATCCGACATAAGTCGGATCCGCGTAACTCGGGGACTGCCTGTATTGCCATTTCTGCTCTTAAGAGTTGGATTCCCCTTACGATAAAAGGCAGGGGTCCACTGGCACAGTGTTTCTAGTCAGCGCCTCAGGATTCTGGAATTTGCTCCTCACTTTGATTTAACATAACCTAACCCAGGGGTGGGAAGGCTTTTTTGGGTCAGGGGCCACTGACCGACTGATTTTTCTGTGAAGGGCCCACACAAGAACAAAACAACAAGAAAACAAACAAACCAAAAACAATAAAAAAAAAAAAACCAAAATGCCTCACTGATGTGGCCCCCAAATGAGGAGAAAGACACTCTGCACATTCCCCTTGCCCATCAGAGCCTAGGTGGGCCCAGCCTAGTAGATGATGTGTGCTCCAGATCTGCGGTGGGGCAGAAGGGAGGCTGGAGCACCAGCGCAGGCTTCTCAGTGCTGGGGGGAGGAGGGGAGGGGAGGGGTTTGAACCTTGGGGGCCAGATCTAGGCAAGCTAGGGGCCACATCCAGCTCCCGGGCCTGAGGTTCCCCATCTCTGGCCTAGACCTTCCAGATAACACTGTAAAAACCATTTAGCAAGGATCTTGGGGGAAGGACGAAAGAGGCTTTTCTGGAGTCCTTCTATTTTAACTGTCTACTAGCTGACATTCATGTCCAAGATATATTCCAAAAAACTTGGGACTTTTAGTAAAACAACTTAAAGTAGGCTGACTTCCATTTGCACACATTGGTGGGTTTTTTGCACAACTTAAGTGAGGGGAATGGGAGGACTTATAACGAGTTAGTTCCTACAAGCATCAATGACGTTAGCATGGAACATATGTATACCAGGGTGACTTACAGCGGGGACACCCTGTATTTGGAAGTTTTATGGAAAATCCCCTCAGCCCTTTTAAGTTACTGGAAATTATGGGGTAAGATAACCAAGTTTCCCCATTAGAAAAAAAATTTCTCTCACACACACACACACACACCCACCAAGAGGCCACAGCAAACATAGCAGAAAGCTTAAAAATTGAAACTGTATTACAATCTATTTTGCTTATTTTAAAATAATGATTTTGATTTTAGAATATTTGAAAATATTGTGTGTTGGGCAGGTGTGTGTGTGTGTGTGTGTGTGTGTGGATATTAATCAAGTTAATTGCAACCTGCCAGTTATGCGTGACTTGGAAGGTGCATACTTACAAAAACTGTTGCAGGATGCATACCGTGTTCCTTCCTGTCCCTCCCATGTTGTGCTTCTTTGTATTGTCTATGCAAGTTTAAAGCAATCAAAAACCAACACATTTTAACCCAATTTTGGGAAGGCAACAAAGGAGATGGAGGGCTAGTCAGGGATTTAGGCTACCTTAAAGAAGTTTTAAAATGCATGCATTTATAAGCATATACACATGTGCAGTTATAAGTGAATACAAAGTAGACTGCAGTATTAACAATTCTAGTCATTCTTACCTGTTAAGTCTTTTGTTCTTTCCAGGAGACTCCCTGACTTTTGGTATCATTTGCTGGGTTATTGGGTAGCGGTCTCTATCACTCATTTTTATGATCAGGCATTAGCTAGATCAGCCCCGTCGAGGGGCTTCATGCACTGGTTTTATAAAAAAGATGAGAGAGCAGCCACAATCATATCTGGGCAGCAGGAAAAAAACAGACTAGGCAGGAAGAAGCAGGGATTATGGACTGGTGTGAATCACTGCAATGTAGCAAATACAGCCAGGTGCAACACGCTGGGAGAGGAGTTTAGGGGATTGAGGAGAAAAGGGTAGTTCACTCTGGAGCAGGAGACAGAATACAACAGGACTTCGGCTAATGAGGGGAAAACATAAGAACATAGGAATATCCATACTGGGTCAGACCAAAGGTCCATCTTCTAGCCTAGTATCCTGTCTTCTGACAGTGGCCAACGCCAGATGCCCCGCAGGGAGTGAACAGAATAGACCATCATCAAGTGATCCCTCTCCTGTCACCCATCTCCAGCCCAAGACAAATAGAGGCTAGGGACACCATCCCTACCGATTCTGGCAGGTTTAAAACTAATAAAAGGAAGTTCTTCTTCACACAGCGTGTTGTCAACCTGTGGAACTCCTTGCCAGAGGAGGCGGTGAAGGCTAAGACTATAATAGAGTTTAAAGAGAAGCTGGATAAATTCATGGAGGTTAGGTCCATAAAAGGCTATTAGCCAGGGGATAAAATGGTGTCCTTGGCCTCTGTTTGTCAGAGGCTGGAGAGGGATGGCAGGAGACAAATCGCTTGATCATTGTCTTCGGTCAACCCTCTCTGGGGTACCTGGTGCTGGCCACTGTCGGTAAACAGGATACTGAGCTAGATGGACCTTTGGTCTGACCCAGTACGGCCGTTCTTATGGTCCTCCCTTCTCCTCTCCCCACTCCCATGGAGGGTCTGTACTCTCTGGAGTGAGTGAGTTCTCCAACCAGGGAGGCAGGAAGTACTTGGGGGTCATGTGACCCATGAAAAAGTCACAGAATCAAATTACAGAGATAGCCGGGATAGGGTATCTGTAACTGGGGTATAACCTGGCTAATTTCTGTCATTTAGATAAACAAGAGACCTTCAGTCTCAACAGGTATGCCAACTGGTCCTTTTTAAGCATATATAAGCATGCAGTCTAGTAATATTGTTAGTTGGCCTTTTCTGATTTTCATCAGCTAAGAATAGGCACTTCTGAAAGAGGGCCCACCACACTAATCAGTTGTACAATTTACTGAAGAGAAATCAACTTACAGCCAACATGATCAAACATTACTGAGAACAGGAAGTCTCTAGGTGTCATGTAATATTCTCCTTCATATTCCAAGGAGGCAAACTTCATAAAACGTTGCTTTCGTATAGACAGTTTTTCTGCCATCTCCTCATTAGTGACATCTTCCTTCTGAAATAGGAAAAAAAATCAACATAAGAAAAGTAAAAAGAAGCTTTACCCTAATAAGGAGGAGTCATATCACCAACCTTCCATCCTCAGTATATGTGATCAAGTCACCACAGTAAGAAGGACTGGTTGTAATTAAGATAGTTATCATAGTTTAACACCAAAGCAGAAGCAGTATTGCCCACACCAAAAACAATTTCTGCAAATCATGAGATCTTAAAATTAAGCTGTGTACTTTTTATTTGGGTTTGAACTCTTAGAGTTTCAAGGCTCTTCTCTATAATCATGAGATTGAAATTTACTATTTTTGTAATCAAATCTGAGGGTCTCAAATAATCACCTGACACCATGACTGAGGCTTTAAGAAATACACAAATGTTCACAGACTTAGGATAAATTCACTAGCTTTGGTTTTATCCCAGAAACAGCAACAGAAAGTGATTTCAGGTATAGAGGGAATCTAGATGGAGGAAAAACAAGAGATATGCATAATATTTTACCATTTCAAAGAGAAAAAGTGAGCACAGGGAAAATATGAGTTTCTTAAAATGAATATGTATTCATTATGTATTTAATTTATGCTGTTGGACAATCCTTACAAATTGTATATAAAGCCAATGATGGAAAAACAAGGAAATCTAAATTAGATACACTCAGTGTACCAAGATCCCATGTGTAAACTATTACAAATAGTTACTGTAGTCATTATAGCAGTGTGTATCTAAAATATATTAGATACTATAGACTCTTATAGGGAAATATAGTTCCTGCCCAAAAGATCTCACAATCTGAAAATGCAAATAAATAAGTGGAAAATAAATGAAAAGGATGCAAAATACAAGCAAACCACTAGCGATGTCTGAAAACATTTCCATGGAAGTCTTCTATTAGCAAAAGTTGTTACTTCAAAATCTAAACGTTTTAAGAAAACTTGTCAATTCAGGTAAAAAATTAAAAACAATTCAAAATCAGAATGGAACATTTTGTTTCTACTATCTTGTTTTGCACTTACAATTTAAAAATCAGCAAAAAGTAAGTGTATGTTATAATATGCTTATTTCAATGTTTCTGAATAGAAATATTTCAGATTTTGTTCCAAGAAATATTTTGACTGTACAGTTTCTGAAGAATAGTTTTTGAAATGTTGGATTTTCTTATAGGATGGAAATTCCATTTTCTGACCTGCTATAAATGATGACCAGACCCATCTTAAAAAACACTGTAGCTATACTCTGAACTACATGACTTAAATCAAACAGTCCCATTAAAGCGAAGTACCACGTGTAAATGCTTTGTTGAATGATACGTGGTTTTTTGTTTATAATATTATTATTAGTTAATTTCACTTTTCCTCCTGCACTGTCAGTTTTGCTTGCTAAATGGGGTCATTTGCACAGCAATAAGGGAAGTAAAACCCATTTTAAAATTAGGAAAATGTTACGAGAAAAACAAAATCTGGCAGCAGAAAGGTCCTTGGAAAGGTGTAGCACCTGAAATTCACTTTAAAACGGATCATATTACAAGTAGAAAATATTTCCTTAACCTTTATTTTGTACATTAGAAGAAAGCTAGGTGTGGAAAATGCAAAAAGCATTTTTATTCTTCTACTAAACTGATTCAGAGATTTTGAAAAATACTGTTTTAAAACAACACTAATGTAATAACTCTCAGTTCCTTTTAATCTCCTTCTGTTTAAAAGTTTTGGGACTGGTTACTACAGAATTGCCTTTTTAACAAGCTTCAACAAATGCTGCTTTAGATATCAAGTGAATAATTCATATTTATGGGGTGTTAAAATTCAACACTCTTATTAAAATGACTCTCTCATAATAATGTCGACAGTTTGTACCCTAAAGCAAACTTTAAAATAGAAGATTGCTCTATAGTAGCGGTTTAATGAAAATTATGGAAAGATTTTTTTGCATAAACTTTTATTATTTTGTATTTGTGGTTTAAGAGTTAATCCTATTATATAACTGCCCATACCAATTGGATTTTCAAGTTCCTAAAATATTGGAATATCTGTTTGAACAATGGCCAAAGCATGGCTTATTAGCGATATTAAAACTGCTGAACTTCAACGGTTGAAAATTTTAAATTTAAATAAAACATCTGTAAATTTGTGTACACCTCCCCCCCCAACACATGGAATAGAATTTATTAGCATAAAAACTGTCAACACATTATTACTGTAATTTTACAGGATCACTTTCTTGTCATGAAACAATTTGGGAAACTTTTTCTTTTGGTAAGAAAAAAGCTGAAGACAGTTATCAAAACACTAAAGAGAAACATTTGCATAAAATAAATATCTCAGTCTTGCCAATTTTTGCAATTTTATCATCAACTTTGTAATATTTTGTGTTTTTCCTTAAGCCTCCACTTTGGGAATCATGTCATCACATAAGAACTTCATATCCGTAAGGGGTGGAAAATTTCTTTTAATGAAATTTGAAGTGAATCTTGAAAATTTGAACTCTAAAAGCTCAAAACTTGGACCTAACTAAATAAAACCTACAATTTATTTTTAAATCTGACTTTGTAAACAATCTCATGATGTTTTTGGGTACAATTTATGATTTTTGAATACTTGTGGCTAGCAATATTGCATCATTTTCAACGCCATAATAATTTTAACCATCAGAACAAAAAAGTTTGATTTTGTTGAAAAGAACCCAACAAATAGATTTTCACTACTGAACCTATATATGGCATGCCACTGAAGTAAATCAGGGCTTGACCATTCTTTAGTGCAATAATCAGATTTCTTCCCTCCTCACTCTTGCAAAAAAAAAAAGTATTTATTTACAGAGACAATGATTTTTTTTCTGATCTGTAACTTTGAATATTTAAAAATATAGAGGTGAACACAACCCCAAAGTCTTGAACAGATATAAAAATATACTGTAGAAACTAGTTTACTATCAGGAGAGAAACTATTAATTCTGGAGCATTCTGTAGACATAATGAAAAGTGAGAAAGAGTAGCTAAGCATAACAGAATAATAAGGCTTACATAGAAAGCTTTTATAATTAAAAAATCATTTACAAAGCAAAAGAGAAAAACAGAAACCAAGACCAGTCCGTAATTTCAACTGGACAAGAATTCTATCCACTCTGAGGACGTTTAATGGAAAAAAGCCCTTGTGAGTTCTTCCTTTATTTTTCCGCCCTATCTATAAAATTATTGGGCTAAATTTTCAATTGGTGTAAACTAGCATAGCTTCATGATGCCTGGTGCCCCGGAGGGAACGAACAGAACAGGAATCAAGTGACCCATCCCTTGTCCATTCCCAGATTCTGACAAACTTGTGGTCCTATGTCTAGTCAGGCAACCTTGCAATCTACATGAAAGATAAAGTCTCCTATTTCACTTTAAAAATTTAGAAAAGGATTTTTAGTGGTAAAGAGGAGGGGGAGCAAATGTTCAGAGAGAGCACAATGTGAACATGCGATGCTTGCAGTTATTGAGTATCCTACTACACCATATTTGTTCGTTCTTCCACTCATTCAATAGCACGGGAGATTTTCAGCACACTGAAGGGCTGGAAGGGGAACAGGCTAACTAATAAAAATCAGAGGATCCAAAAGGCAACACTTCAAAATGGTAGATAAGCTTGACTTTTCTAGTAGTATATTACACAAGGGCATCACCTAAAATGGGTCTGCACTCTATTTTTCTGTGCACTCATATCCACAGAGACTGTTATCTTATCACAGAAGGTAATTAGGTTGGTCAGTCATGACTTGCCCTTGGTAAATCCATGCTGACCATTCCTGATCTCCTCCAAGTGTTTCAAAATTGATTCCTTGAATGAGTGCTCCCTGATTTCTCCAGGGACTGATGTGAGGCTAACCGGTTTGTAGATCCTCCTCCTCCTCTCTTTTTAAGATGGGCACTACGTTTGCCGTTTCCTAATTGTCTAGGACCTTATCTTTTGCCTTTGCTGTCCAACAGGAGCAACATGTTAAACTACTTCTCATAAAAGATTAATTTTTCATGATATTTTTAGATCAACTCAAAACTGGAGAAGTATATTGTTTCTATGTGCAATAAATGAGACCAACAAAATCACCCAAACGCCAAACCTTTACCCCTCTAATATGGGGGACCAGGATGTCTCATTAGGAGTAGGCTCCAAGTCCACTTCTGGACCAGTACTGGGTGCATTTGGCATTTATGTGGAACTGGTTTGAATCCCAACAGTGGCCAAAAATATCTGTGACCAAAGAGTTGTGGTGCTCCATGTGCAATAAATGAGACCAACAAAATCACCCAAACGCCAAACCTTTACCCCTCTAATATGGGGGACCAGGATGTCTCATTAGGAGTAGGCTCCAAGTCCACTTCTGGACCAGTACTGGGTGCATTTGGCATTTATGTGGAACTGGTTTGAATCCCAACAGTGGCCAAAAATATCTGTGACCAAAGAGTTGTGGTGCTCCC